GGTTTTTAATGCTGTTTTCTTCGGTTTTTCGTCAGAAGGCTTTACGAAGAGAATTTCACCAAACTGGCACCTCGAAGGAAATTCTGGATTACTCATAAACGCTTTACGCAGCAGAACTGTAATATATTTTTTTAACTAAAAATTGATTTTCTGGAGTCGCCAAAAATGCTTCTTTGGTATATACTAGTCCTCCAGCTCCTCTGGAGAAAAGAACACAGGTCATAGCCGGAGTTGCCAATAAACATAGGATGAGAAGGTATTCCAAAATGGTCCCACAAGAGCAAAGTTAAAGCGGTTTGGCGTTTCGTTTTAGAGACAGAAACTCAGGCTTGAACTCTTGATAGTTACTGTCGCTGCTCTTAGTATCATTTCTCAAAACAAAACTCAGATGGGTCGATAAACATCCTCAGTTACACTTCAAACTGCTAATAAAACTAAAATCGTGACATTTGGGCAGAAAACGTTAACGCTAGATTCGGGGTTCAGGAGGCGATTCCCCTGGGTATTCACTGTAGCCAATTTAGATCTGGCAATACTGGGTATGGACTTTTTAAAGAGATACGAATTTCTATTTGACACGAAAAACCGGCGCCTAACACTGAAAGAAACTTCCAATCGCACAAGCAAAAAAGACAGTCACATCAAATCTCTCAATTTGATACAAACTCATCAAGTGACTACAGCAAAATTCCAAGACATAATCGAGGAAATTTTAAACTTAAGTAAACCGAACCCACATGCTTCCAAAATCAAACTAAAAGTAAGTCATACGACCAAGACCGAAGGTGCACCTGTGTTCACAAGACTCGGGAGGCTAGCACCAGATAAACTTAAAATCTCTAGAGCTGAATTTGATTATATGCTACAACTGGGTATTATTTGTCCCTATGGTAGTCAATAGGCATCCCCTTTGCATATTGTCTCAAAGAAAAATGAGGGCGACTGGAGGTCGTGTGGGAATTGCAGAGCCCCCTACCGTTAGACTGTACCAGATGGGTCTCAACACTTCATATCGAAGATTTCACGAACGGTTTGCAACGTATGAATATATTTACCAAAATTGACTTGGGCATATCTCTATATCCCGGTAGCTGATGAACATATCCCTAAAATAGTTATTACTACACCTTTTGGATTGTTCGAGTTTGTACGTATGCCATTCGGCCTGAGGAATGAGGAATAAACATTTCAAAAATTCATGGATAACCTACTTCGGGATATGTCATTTTCACAGGGGTATGTAGTCGATTTGTTAATTACCAGTCACTATTTACAATCACACGAACAGCATGTACGAGCAGTGTCAAAACGGCTGGATGAAGATGGAATGCACCTACATCTAATTGTGTATCCGGTGTACTAATTTTATAATTTCTCGGACACACAATAAGCATCGAAGGGGATAGATCGATCGTAGAAGAGTTGGATACCATCAGACAATACCCTATATGTAGTTCTCTAACACATCTAGGTGTTGAGAAAATGAAGTCCTTGACAAGACCTACATGTTGGTAGCCAGAGATAAATGCAGATATATGTCGTACAGCAAACAATCGTGAGAAATGTCACAAGCTAAAATGTCAGTCTTCGAAGTGGATTTCATGGCCAGTTTCATCTGAGGCCTGGTAGAGAATTCATGCAGACTACTGTGGTCCATTTCTTGGCAAGTACTATGCACTTGTAGTTACTGATTCTTTTTCTAAGTGGCCTGAATTTTTTTCGCAACTTCACCAAATTCTGACTTCACAATCCAAGCATTAAGGAAGGTGTTTAGTTGAGGAGTTCCCATGGTGTTAGTGACTGATAATGGCTCTCATTTCGCTGCGGATGTAGTCACTAATTGGTTGAGTGGTATAAGGTGCAGACATCTGTTTTCAGCTCTCAGGCACCCTTGTTATAATGGTCAAGCAGAAAATTTCGTAAGAACATTGAAAATTGCTATAGATTCTATTGCTGCTTCAACATTTAATGAACTGGAGAGGGGAGTAGATACATTCCTACTTCAATATAGAAATACTAAGCATTCTGTGACGAAAGAGACTCCATCAAAGCTATTAAAAGGAAGAATTCTCCGTTCGAATATGGGGTGTTTGGGGTCTGCAGAAGTTACATATTATCGTGGGAATGATCTTCAACCAGCCACGGGGATCGTGGTGAAGAGTGTTGGAAAATCTATGTTGCGAATTCTGAATATCAATGACTTGACTACACATAACCGACACGTTGATCAAATACAATACCAGAATCCAGGTGAGTCTGTTCCAATTTCCGTTGTTAATTCTAATACTAATGAGTGCATTCTAGATAATACATAGTCTACATCCAATACATTGTCGGAAAGATGTAAGATGGACTTAAGAAGAAGACGAACAATCGATTACAGACACTTACACTTCAATTTGAGCTGTGGAGGATGTGATATTTAAATAAATCAATGACTTCTTCGTATTGATGACTGTTATGATTTTGAATTCCAAATACAATACATTCGTTTGTGCTCCTCTAATAATTCTTGATTAAATTGCGTTATTTGTGGGATTAGTAGTGTATACTAAAATTCAAATACTTCTGATTATCATAATTAGTCAAAGTAGATACAAGCGAAGTAGAACCACTGCCACATGGGCCAGTCCATGGCGTATGATTAAGTGTTGCGCGTTGACTGTCCTTGACCTTGACGGGGATCGATGATCCGTTCGATCTTTAGTGACCCAACTGCTGGATGCTTTGGCTAGGGAAGAGATGATACATAGTGACCACGCCTGCACGACCGAATCATACTGTCTCCGTTAAGTGTTTCGCACTCACCTATGACCATCCTCAGGTGTTCAACAGATAATGTAAATCTTCCTAACTATTTTTTGTTCAGCTTCAAGGGTCGTTTGTTTGCACATCATTAGCACTTTACAGTCGCTCTAGTGACTCGTGTATACGGTATATTTCACTCTGCAAATTCAAATCTTTTCGGTTATTTCTCAGCATATTTGCATCTTTTGTGGGCTTACCTTTTGTTCACTAATCAATATTAACCTCCGGCATTGTAGGAAGTGCACGTCAACATGTTTTTTTCGGAAAAGTGATTTAGTAATGATATGCAGTAGACGGTTATTGATATGGTGCGCAGTGGTTGATATACTAAGGTCGTGAATTTCTGGAGAATTAACCCCCTTCGCCGGTAATGGCAAAGAACACATGCAATCTACCTCATGACTAGCCGTAGCACCTAAAAGTCCAAATGAATTCTAAATAACCAAGTTACCCCAACGTTGAACATAAGACTTATCCTCTTCGGACTCTGAACACGCCAGTTGCACGAATACTTCACTCAACCCTAATCACATACTCGAACATGACCTAACATCTTTACTTACCGTCTTTGTAGGTGAAAATTAAAGCTCGTAACGTTGTCTCCACCGTTCAATTTGTCAATTACACTCCAGTAGCATCTTCAGTAACAACGTAAATCTAATTGATTCTAACTGTCCAGCCAGTACTGACAATATACAACGTAACCTAATGTCTGGTTCCGCAACAAAAAGAATAATACTTACATTGCACATTTGGTCAACGTTGTTCCATCTAACCATTTAGTTTTCACATGTTTTCTGGGGAGAATAGTGTCTACGATGACAAAGCGATCTTTAGGCTATTTAGTATCGTTTTCTCGCGGGTTTGTATCGTTGACAACGCGTCTGAACCGTGTTTGTGGAACCTGACATAGCTACCATACAATGATCAGTAACCTACACTTCTGACGCACAGAAAACTGATGTTTAATCTTAGAATGAGCTTCTGTGTCTTATTCTTCGACTTATGGGACCAAGAAAAACAAATGGTTATACTGAGGTTCAAAGTTTAATTCCAACAAACATGAGCAACAACTGCTCTCCACACAACAAATTACGCGGACTGCCACCACCATAATTAAAGCGTGCAGGTACTTAGAGACAGCTGTTTACACAAGATACTTCAAATTCATCTATCAGAGGCCATCAGACATAATCTACTGTGTTAGATAACACAACAACACAGCTAAGGAAATTATGAAGACTATCTATGAACACGATACATTTTACAGTCCGGCTGCGATTATGTTTTGAGTATCTACGTTTGCTACAATTGATACGTGTCGTGGCATACCTATTCATGATGAAGTTGTGATACTCTGTAAAGGATCTTCAGTTTATGCACAGGAAAACTAAAGAGGTAGGAGAAAGCTTAGAAGCGTTTCAGTACTATTTGTTCTGAAGATTTTGTGAGCTTTTTACACACACTTCATAGATAGATTCGCCATCATTTTCAGACACTTTCGAGCGACTTTTCGGACCATGTATTCATAAATGACCGTCCTTCATGTCCTTTCATATGTGTTACACTGTTCGTCCTCGAGAAAATGTTCATGGACCCACTTAAATTAGACACGGTTGAAGTCGTACAAACCATTTAGCTGACATGGTAGCAAGACGTTTGCACTGTATATAGTACAGGAGCATGGTAACGAGTGCAAATGTGATAAATAAAACTGATTACCATCCTTTCCACCTCACTTTCTAGATGCCATGGCCTAACAGTACATAATCCTGTAACAGAGCACGGGGAAACGTTAATAATTTGTACCCAAGCTGTAGAATTCATTTGCTGTGTGACACTGATATAGTCTGATTATTCTTTCTCAAATGGACTTCACAAATTCTTTCAATCTAATAGTATTTTGGCTAGTTACTTCCAGTATTATTCCTTCGTCGCTCCACCTATTGATAACGGAATTATTTACAGCTACACTTCCAAAATTATGAAGAACAAAATCTCCAGTATACTTATCAATAAACAAGAGCCTACTTCAACGCAGCAGATACACATATCTTCAGAAGAATGATTCGCTAATTTCGTTCACGAAAGTCTGAAAGCTTGATAAAACTTATTTCCATCTACTCGACTACATACAGCCCAATATTTTTAGCCACATCTTTGAAATTTAAGGCCATCTCGGCCTGAAGGTCATGCTGCCCTTCAGCCTGCTGTTTCGTTCTAGACACCAACCAGTTTGTTGTCTTGTCAATTTGACCACTTCAGCCCTTCTGCAAGATTGGATTCGAAAAGCCACTCCGAGGAAACCTACCCGTTTCAAGCTACACAAAGCTTATACTGTCCTTGATAATGAATTGTATGTAGCTGTAATTCATTTATTTTTTCTATAGTTTAGAGTTAAATCAACGGAAATCCCTTCCCTTGCCACAGAATGATTCCTTGCTGCATCAGAGTAAGTTCTCCATCTTTTTTAGTACACCTTTCGCTCAACCAAATATTCCAGTCACATTCGTTCTGAGATAATATGAAGTGTGTTACTAATATCCCCCAAAGTTAATCAAACTTCGATCTTGCTTCTTTCATTGTCAACCTTACATAATCTCTAAGTCGCGCAAACTGTCAACCCCACGTTATTTTTAAACTTGGACACAAAATGGTGAAGGGATGGTGTACTGACAGCCTTAAGTTAATCATTCGAAAGGATGATGACGGCTTGTGTATTTCACACGGAAATTAAAGTGTGATGATAAGTCTTGTGCCTTGAATGACGAAGTGAATATTCACAATGATTAGTCCTTAAGGTCTTTGAAATCAAAAATCATCTATTATGCAACCAGAAAGATTTAAAATGATACTTAAGATGGATTGCAAAAAATACCTGATCCTAAGGCAGAGTCTGGTTAAGTACATGAGGTGATTTTATACGCAGTCAAGAAAGCTTCGCGCGGCTAGCTAGTATTCTCCGATCCTAATACTTACCTTTAATTCAAATCCCAAGTTTCACAAGTTTGTAAAGAAAGGGGCGACAAAAATCGTTTATAGCTGATTTCTGTTCGTTATGGAAACTTTAACACTAATTTGCAAAACCATCTTTAAATTCCACCCTAACTTTGAATGCCTGAACCCAACCTTTTTGCATTATGGCTAGTGTTAGTTGATGATGAAATCTATTTAGGATAAGTATAATAACTCACAACCCCAGTCTGAATCTAAATCTCCAAAACATAAACTTATTACTTGACTGAATAGAATAATTTGACATATAAGAGTTGATTATGAAGATCAAAGCTATGATCCCATTGTTTTAATATCAGTCAGTCTACAACGTAAGAGCAGGCACATGTATGTATCGGTCCAAGTTGCCACACCTCATTAGCACAAGATGAACATCAAATTCATGGTAGCAGTTACTTCAATGGTAGTAATACATAAAAGAAAGATTGTGTATAAGGACATAGTACAAGATGAAAGGATTAGTTCGTAGAAAAGAAAGTAGAAAGCCATTTTAATCTCACGATTTAAGGGAAGACAAAAAGTGTGTACACCTTCGCCATTGTGATCGATTGTGAGCCATGTCACCTAGAGTCTCCAACCACTGGTTACGATGATTATGCGGACCCCCAACCAAGTAGTCTGTATCTGCCAACATGGCTCAGACTAGAAGTTAGTGACTTTGTGGACTGATGCCGTTTCGGTTTGGCCACCCCTAACTCTCTTCCAACCATCACCAACGCTCGTCAGCGTAGCGCGTCGTGGTAATCGGTGTTCAGGCATACGTAGCACATGACTCAACAATCTCAGTTGATGAAGATTTACAACCTCGCCAATTGATTTATCATCGTTCCCTAATACACTGTATCTAACCTCACTATTACTTACTCAATGATCCCAACAAATGCGAGCAATATTTCTATGACATCCGTGGTCAAATACTAGTAACTTACGAGTATCTTTTACTTTTAATGGTGACGTATCGCAGCCATAAATTGAATAAGAGCGAACTACTGCACAGTATACTCGTCCTTTTATTGATAGACGGTTATCTCGCCTTCGCCCTAGGTGACGTAGGTTGACAAAAGTCAAACGAGCTTTTTGAATCCACGCAGGGATTTCGTCAGACACCAACCCATTAGGGCTGATTAAACTTCTAAGATAAGTCAAGTTGTCGAAGCAGGACAGTCCTGGAGTAACAATTTACATTTAGATGGGGAGAAACGCATCCCAAACATCCTGGCATTGTTGCTCAGTGCTACCAAAAGACTCGGCATTTTATCAGCGTCTTCACCAAACAGGAATATGTCATCTGCGTATTCTAAGCCGCTTAGTGGACCACCTGGTAGGTGATTGATTCCTGAAAATTCAGTCGAAGAGAGTGTTATTTCCATCAATAGGTCTATAATGAAGTTAGACAAAAATGGGGATAGTGGACAGCCTTGTCGAACACCACTTGAGGTTAGGGATAGGACACATGTCGTTGCCTTTTCGTCGTTTCTACCTACGCTCCCACTGCCTGCAGCCATGACAAAGTGAAAGATGACTTTTACAGAAAGCTCTCTGAACTTCTTCAAAAAGCCAAGCGCTCAGACATAGTACTCGTAGCGGGTGACTTTAATGCGCAAGTAGGTAGCTTAAACCACACAGAAAGACATTTAGGTGGGTATTTTAGTATTCCGACTCAGCGAACAGATAATAGTGATCGTCTGTTGCAACTATGCTCAGACAATCGTTTATATTTAGCAAGCACTAATTTTAAGCATAAGCAGAGACATCGCCCAACATGACGGCCACTTGCACCAAACCAACGATGGACTCAAATAGACAATATTGCCATAAGTCATCGTTCGAGAGGCTCGACAGAAGACTGTCGCTCGTATTGGAATACTTGTTTAGACTCTAATTACGCTTTAATACGAGCACGCATTTGTCTGAACCTTACTGGACCCAGGTATTTGCGAATCATGGTATATCAGTTGATGAGGTGATGAATCTACATCGACTGAGATGGTTGGGCCACGTGTAACGATTGGGATTGTTTTATTATTGTCTTGATGATTGCTTCTTTGTTTGCTGATATAGGTTGGGAACTTGGACGGATGCATATACTTGACAATCCTATGTTGCTTATGACTGACAGTTGCAAATTCTCAACCTGTTAACCAGCATTTAAAAGTTTAAGTGTCAGACCTTTATAGTGAATCATAGATCATATTAGTCAGTTCGACCGCTCATTGCCTTTTAACGTAGTATATCTCATGTTCTCGCTTCAGGACATCAGTAATTAAATGCAATCTCATAAAAATACGTCTAACCATACAGTTTTGTAATCAGTCAACCTGTGCTGTGATCGCATAAGGTGTCCTGTATCTACAATACACTTTTCGAAGGTGATGTCGATAGACGTTGGTTAGTATCAGCTGCCAGCGCAGTGTCCGGAAATTAGTTGAACAAAAATATATTGTCTAAACTCCAAAGTACGTAAATCCATTGTATGTACAACCAGCCTAACTTTAAGGGTAAATTGTTCACAAGTTTTTCTCTTCAGTTAGTGAGGTTTTTACTTCAATATGAAGTAATTGAAAATAGAAAAATATTGACCTCATAATAGAATAAAATTCATGTTTAAAATTGGTTTTAAAATGATCTGTAAGTGATACTGTGAATGGATAGAGATTTCATAATTTCTATCTTAAGCTTACTTGTCATTCCAAGAAGTACAAGCAATGTTTCAAAGACACCTTTGACCAAAGATCTGTTGCATACTCGTGTCTTCTTGTTTCAAAGACTGTTTTAAGCCATAAATCAGTACAAAGCATACTCCCGTCCATTATACACTGCCTTCGGCTGGCAGAATGACATCTCTTATACGCCACAAGTAACAAGTTAACAAATGACAACTAATCTTTCTGGAATGGTCCCGAGATTTTGTCACAAATTAATCCATCAGGGCTAATTAGACTTCCAAGATAAGTAAATGATCGACGTACTCAGTAACTTCGCTGTCTATCAATAAGTTAGGAGTTGACGTAGACCATTCATAAGGTAATGTTTTGAACTTAGAACAATAGGAATGCATCCGAAACATGTTTACATTTTCATTCAAGGCGATCAGTAGACTCTACATTTTAGTATCTCCACGAAACAAAACTATGTCATCTGGGTATTCTAAGCCGATAAGTGATCTTGGTGAGGAATCAACTCTTGAACAGTTGTTTCTAGGAGAATATCTATAACTGAATCAAGTAAACAGTTACATTAGGCAACCCTGATGAATATTTGATGTTATCGATTCCGATGACAGTTCTCCATAAGCTTCTGATTCAACCAGTAGTATTCAGGTAGAGAGCGTGTACAAGATTAGTTCTTTACTTCAATGACAGACACTGCCATAAAACCTTTCGATATATGGGGTCGGATGCTGCCTTAAGGTAAAGAATTGCGACTGTAATTGGGAGTCCGCAGGTATTTCTTTATTCTATAACCTGATGAAGAGTCAGTATTTGGGCAATTTATCCACATCCGGATCTAAAACCAGTATGCTCTTCGCGAGCCCTAGTAAGCGTTAGATTATTGAGGCTAATATTTTAGATAATAATTAGTTGAGCTGATTTCCTGTGGTTCCACAAAAGAATCTGACTTTTCTTATAAACTGAATAGGTAGCTCTCAAACCCTAGCTCTTATCTCACTCAGCTTAGTTGCTAAAACCGGATGACGATTGTTAAATATCGTAGGAACTAATTTATCATGATCTGTTCTCTCTCTAGATTAGCTATGGTCTTCTCGATTTCATTAGGAGTCGCGGGCATTCGATGACATTCCATTTAAGTCGTTCGGTAATATTAAGCACCTAGAGGGTATCTAGAGCTAAGTTGGGCCGTTTCTCAAGGTGTTCTACTCATCATTCCGACTTCCTCATTTGGTGAGTCGGAATAGTTGTTCACCTTTTTGGTCTCCTTTGCTTTCTCTACTCACTGCTACTCACAAGCATTCCGTAAACTTTTGCTAGTGTGTGTTTGAGTTATCTTTGCTCACCATCGTATTTTGAGCTTGATGGAATGAATTTCCGAGTATCTATCGACTTAGTGGACAATACAGAAACCCACTGATGTTTCATAATCTTTTGGTTCAAGCCACTGGTGGATATCATTGCTGATTCCATAGTTGTTTAGATATCATGCCAACCTACATTGGAGCAAACATTACTTTGGCGATTGACTAACTGCTTTATTAGTTGGTACTGAAATATACTCTTGACAGTTTTGCCGTTTAGCTAAAATCTTAAGGATCTTCATTCTGTGACGCTTCTGTACTCTGTAAGACAGGCAAATGAGTTCTTGGACTAGATTATAGTGAGAGACCAGTTATGTGCTCCAGAATAGATAACAGTTTTTTATCGAACCTCTTCAATGACGGCTTATGGCGATATAGATTATTTGCATCTACTTGGTCAATTTTCAGATTTAGCAGATCAGTCAATATTTCCCTTCATACTTAAGGTTAGTACTTTCTAATAATAATCAGCTATCTGATCATAAATTCTGAATCCGGTCACCGTTGTTTGTTTGTTGAGCTGAGACCCTATAAAACCCACACGTGTTTTTCAATTTGACTTATCGACTTGTGCGGTAAAACTATCTGTTATGATTACCACGTCTGAGCTCCTTGCTTTCTGAAAGAGACCATGACATTACTTGTAAAACTTGTCTTTTACTCCATTCGAGCTGCATTTATTGGGAGCATAAGCAGATAACAAAGTTTATGCCTGTGTTCTTATTGTATCATTGAGACAGAGCATTTAGGGGACTATCCAAGTAGATTCAGTCAAGAAGTAGATGTTCTGCTTTCGGAAGTAATGCTATACATTCATCAGAAAGACCATCAGTAGTTTCTACCGCGCCTCCAAATAGATGAACGGTTGGCTCTTCATACTGGCTAAGTAAGGTCAATTGAATGACCACTCTATATCCCTGTATACCTGTCTTGGAGACTCAGAATACATCTGTGGCACAAGATGCTAGAGTCTCTCAACAAGTGAGGCTTCTTATTCCATTTGAAAGTTTTCGGACATTGTAAGCTTCAACATGTAGTTTAAAGCACAGTTTCAGGAGACCTATATTAGCAGTTTTTAAATTTAGATCGTTAGCACTGGCGGCACATGTGGAAGAAATCGAAGATGGGATGCTGTTTGATAGTTGGAATAATATAAATATTGATCGTGAAGACATGGTCTAACTGTGAACGAGGTGAACTCGTGTTCTGTTAGAGATATACGGCGGTTGTCGTTTCCTGGTTACCAACATAGTTGAAGAATATTTGTTCTTGAGGTACTTGCAAAGAAAACTTTGTTGAAAGTGGTTTTTACAACCTGGAAACATCGCTCCAGCATCCAATGGGTAACTTTTTGAGACCAGTCACTCATGGGTTTTTTTAGTTGTCTCAGTTAGCTCTGTCCTTCGTAAGATCACTTGCGACGTAAATTCATGGGGCAAGGCGACGCGTGTGACTTTCATGGCCGACCTTTTGCAACCCACTCCTCGTTTTGAGAAGGCAAAATCTGGTTGCCGTCACACTCCTATGCATTTGCATTACGACTACGCCCTCGGATAGAGTTCACGGTTTTTTATATTGGCACTTTCCTACCGACTTACCTGGCATAATAAATCGTAAAAGAACAAACACTCCTTTCGGTTTAACTCGTTCGGGTCACTACAATATATACGCTCTACAACTGCGTCAAGACAGCAACTGTGGTTACAAAACTATGAACTACCTAAATATTGTAGTAATTCAATTTTTCCCGATATCCTGACTAATATATTAATATTTAATTTTCTGCAGGTATCTATGACTCAGTTAATTCTTCTATATCCGAAAAGCGTTCTCAGTACTTTGCTGTTGTGGCTATTGCAGGGAAACAGTTCAAAGTAACTAATAACGATTTAATTATGATCAAGACACCGTTCTATGGAACTGATGTTGGTGATCGCGTTCAATTACAGAAGGTCCTACTCTTAGGATCATCAGATTTTACTATAATCGGTCGACCAATTTTACCAGTGCATCAGGTGTTTGTTGAGGCTGTAGTAATTGAAAAAACTCTTGAACACCCTAAAGTTTGGTACCAGTTTCATCGTCGTCGTAGACACCACAAACTGCGAGGTAAATTAGTAGTTATTTCTTCACATTCTTTTCAGTATTCCAGGGAAATGTTACTGTCCTCCGGATTATTGATGTTCGTCCCAATATATTAGCAACTCAGTAATTCAATCCTTGAATATACGTTCACATGTTAAAAAAACATTTAGGCTTTTATATACTCCTAAAAATCCGTTTTCTGCGATTCTTCTTCATTTAAAGTATTTGAGAGTGTAAACCACTATGGTACTCAAAAAAGTGAATATTCTCCGAATCATGTCAAAGTTTGTTTCTTTCTCTCGCTCTTTCGATGAAAATGTATTTCCATCATGACAGACCCAAAGAGAAATAGTCTCAAACTTTGATTTCATGATATGGTAAGATGTCCAGCTTAAAACACCAAGAAAAGGTAAAGGTCATGAACTTTATACTTTTTACGGTTTTATAAAGTTTATTACCGTAACGTTAGTCTTGGTACTTTAGGATTCCGACAGTTTTCATCTCAAGTTGAAATGACAGCATGTTTTCGATTTCCCACCCCCTTTCGAATGAATGATAATATCCTGCGCCTTTAGAAATGAATTTCAAGGCTCGTCACTAGACCTTGGTTACTCATCACTCTGCGTACTTCGAACGACTTTTTCAAAGTCAGTCATATATTATTCGCCTTTTAACTAATATTTTTGTTTGGAAACTACAAAAAGTCAACAGAATGAGCTTCCATGTACAGTGGTTGATAAATATTAAAAGATTGATAGTAACTGTCACCTTAAATCCTAATTTTGAGTAACAGAACGTTTCGAGTAATGTTTGCTAAATGTTGAACGTATAGTTTCTGAACTTGGTTGGGTACAAAAAATGTCTGTCGCAACAACCAGATGTTTTTGTTTATATCACTTTGATGGAGATGTAAATCATTAGAGTGTGACTCTGATCTCAAAACATCGTGCCATATAAGAGATTCGAAGGTCGTGGGTTCAGTTGAACGTGATTTTACGAATGCACTATATTTGGGCATTCCAAACTGAAACTCGACCTCTATCCAGCACTAAATAGTTCTTGATTTCTCTCCAGCTGATTTTGGTCTGCCATTGAAACTATCTTCATAAATAGCCGGAAGTTGGTTTCAGCATCACAAGTCCATTCACTACTTGTTTTCCTCTAAATCTCTAACATACATTCTACTCTTGCTTTCTTAACGTATCTGCGTTTTTATTAGTTTCCCATTTGTGTTGCAAAGTGTGACAACTTTAATCAACTCGTCTTTGTGGTATACTGTACATTGATCCATTTATTAGTCAGTGGTTAGGTCGAATCAATGAAACAGGTGATGATTTACATGGAATTAATTTTTCATAAAATAAAATTTATTACATGACTAGCATGATGGTGTATATAAACTTATTTGACGAGTTTACTTGTCCATCAATTAAGTCAAAAATGTTTATTGAAGCAAATAAATCAGTTAAATATCAAGATTTCAGTATTTGTGAGGAATACTTATTTTCTACTTCCAAATAAATTTAGGGGAAGTCAATACTTTTTTACCCATGGAGATTGACGAAAAGAAAGTTGTTTTTAGTAAAGCATGAATTTATTGGTCATTCTTCTGTAATTAAGCACAACTGATAATGTGAAATAAAACAATACATTTTATTATCAAGTTCACTGCAAATATATCATTATTACCCTCATTATTTATCGATATATTAGCGAGAGTGTTTGTAATAAAAGAATACTATAGCAGTCTCCTGGTTGCAATAATAAGGTTTATTATCTAGGACGATGCCTTCTACTCATATAAACTCGTTGACGAAATAAGTTACAGTCAATAATAATAATAATAACCAAAATATTGACAGGTCAGGTAAAAACATAAACGTTCTATTATTATACGTGGTTATTCGATTCTACTACTGATATAAAAGCTTTTTATATGCAACCAGCCACTTGCTTGGAAATTATGAGAGTAAGAAAAGAGTTTTTTGCAGGACGCTAATCTCGAGCATATGTGCACTCGTTTCTATATATCTTTCCTAAAAAATAAAGCCAAACTTTCAACTAATGGCATATGTCTTGTTCCTTAGATAAGGCAGTCGACACCTGGCCAACAGCGCGCTCTTATCATTTGTCCTCTGATTGATCCAGCGCATCATATATTGAATCATAAATACTCTCAGTAGAAGTTTTTATTCCAAGCGGCTTATGTTGGACAGGGTAATATGGCTAAGTAAAAACAAATAACTAAATTAGCTCTTCACATCAACATATTCTGATTGGTTTCGTTCCTAGTTCCAATGCTGTGTGAATCTTTATTCCAGAAAATTTACTCTCAGTCTTGATAAAAGGAATTGTTTATGTTTATTGTTGCTTATATGTCCGACAAAACTCTCTACATTGTAATGTGAAATACATCCTGTGCAATATTCAGAGAATTTAATATCATTATGTTTGCAACCTTCAATTTATCACGGAAATGTGAGAATTTATGCCTGTTCAACTATTTAGTCTATACTTGATGGTGAATTGAAAGAAATTAAATTGATGTAGAGCCAAAGAGAGTTTATCCGTGACCAATTCAATGCTCAGAAATTAAGCTTAAGGCATCATATTAGTATAGTATCTGTATGAACGAAACTATTGTTTATATCGATCACCCATTCACAGACTGGATGATTATTTAGTTTTAAAAGGTTAAGTTTCAGTAAATAATGGGCAGAACAAGAGAAAAGTGACTAGACTAGTTAAGATTGTCTAGTTCTATTAAGTTGATCATAATTTTTCAGTTTTCAATAAATGGATTGTTAAGGAAGAAATAATTAGTCATGAGGATAGTGTACACCATGTTACAGTACATGTATAAATTTAAGCAAAACCGATTGTCGACCGTATGTAGCTTCTTCAACACAAAGTGGAGTTTCTATTACCATATCTACTTCCGTTTAATTCCAAGTGTAGGTAAATAAAATTACCTTGTTAGAAATTTAAGGGATTTTTCGAGGCGTCGGAAACATCCGTTTTATCGGGAACCTTCGACTTAATATTTAGTCATTGAACCTTAATTAGTAATGTGTGATATTTAAGAATATTTGAATTATAGCATAAACTAATAATCTCAGAAACAACGCAATTTAATCAGGAAGTATTAGATGAGCATGAACGAATGTACGGTATTTAGAATTCAAGATCAAACTAGTCATCAAAACAGGGGAACCATTGGTTCATTCAAACACCACATCGGCTACAGCTTAAATGAGAATCCGGAATTCTGCGATCAATCGCATCTCTTCTCTTTGACTTCATCAAGTGTCTGTTCAATTGTGTAATAGATATAGACTCTGTATTATCTAGAATGCATTCGTTAAGATTAGGATTATCAACCGATATTGGAACAGACGTGATTCCTGGAATTGCATAAAATCATCTTGTCCGTTGTCTAATGAAACAACTGCTATCTAGAATTTGAACCGTAGACTTTCCTACCCTATCATCCCAGACGAAATAATGTAGGGTCCTTACGTGTTATGACCAATTTGACGCTCCCGACTTACATAATCTTATATCTTACGCTCCGATTATTATATGTGAGTATTTGGGGATAAACACTGACACGTAATTTGAGGTATTCCATCATGTGATCTTGACTTGCATAAAAATTATGATGCTATTCTTTTTGTTAATCATATTAGAATACACAGAGAGATAAGGATTGATATGTGTAATTAGCACATGTGATTGATCTAGGCTAGATTAACCTGCGAAACAATCAAATGGAGAACATGCATCTCCTTCATATTCATTAGTATAAACATTGACTTGATTCGGATCTTCTGCCTGGGCAGACTGGTTCTCTGAATGCTTCAGGACAACATACTATTCCCTCTGACTAATCATACCACTGACTAGGGATTCTACTTGATACACATTGACTGGGAGAATATGCAACATCTGATACAGTAACATTAGAAATGTGATTAAAATTCGCCACACCCGGAACATATCACAATTATTAGGGATATCTCTAGAGATAAATCTATTGTGACGACGAATAACAATTGATATGACATCAGGATTTGATTCTTTTGAAATATTTTCATCAAATTTATTAAGAGTTTCATTAGAGAATGATGGGTCATTAGGAAAATCAGCATCTACCAAAACTGAATCCGGATTTTGATCAGAATTTGATTCACTCAACATATTATTCTCAGAGTTGTCAGAAATATATGAATTATCATGGCAAACCATATCTGGAACAATAACACGACATAGCTCATAAGTCGGTTGATTAGAAACTTTTGTCTCACACTGATTCTGGGTTTCATCCAACTCTGGACTGCTATGTGACGTTATACCGCTTATCGAAGTCTTCGATAAAGATAACTGATCATTAGAAACATCCAAATTAATAGGATCACAAATTTTAGCACTAGGTTCAGCTAAATGAACCATGGTACTACAAACTGACTAAGTGTGTCCAGTTTGACCACATTTGAAGCATTCAGAATTACCAAATACACATGAATTACATGGGTGAAACTTGCCATGGTACAAGTATCTACCAAACTTGTGCTCATCCTCGTGAACTGTTTCACAACTCAATGAATTGTTATCTGAATAACTTTAATTACGTATTGGACTGCGACGACGTAGTAAAGTGGTGGAATTCCTTATGTTCTGGCGAGTCATTTCATCGAATTTTCCTCCTTTACCGCATTCGAAATTTGTATGCTTCACATGGTCTAAGAGTAGTTGCTTGAGAGTTGCATAAGGGAGTGACGTCGGATTGTCTGGGAATGCCAAAGTCTTTATTAAGCTGTATGCTTGTTTTCCGATGAATGTAAGGAAATGGGCCACAATATTAAAATCCTCATCATCTTCCTTCGTCATAGCTGAGATTTCAAACCTCTCCATGTAATCCTCAGAAGCATGAAAATCTCAATGTATATCGGACCGTTCCTCACAGGCTCCATCGCGACGCCAACGCGATGTTTAAGAGTATTTGAATTATAGCATAAACTGGTAATCTCAGCAATAACGCAATTTAATCAAGAAGTATTAGATGAGCATGAACGAACCATCCAGAAGATACAGATGTTTATTAACAGTTGTCTATGCAAAATACTT